GTTGGAACATCTATTGAAATTGTGAGATCCCTATATTGTCCTTTGGAGAGAACATATTTCTATTTCTATCCCTTTGTCAACCTTAGGCTGAGGTTGTGTCTAGCAAAAATAATAACAATACAAAAATGTATTACATCCCTTGACAAAAATGATGATTCAAACTTTTATATGAATGTTCCTTTGCCGGAGTTAGGGATCCATGCACTTGAATTCTGACGCATCCTGGTGGCGACTACTAGGAGTAGGAAGGAGATCCTAGAAGCCTACATCGTGGTGGTGACTCTTAGCATGTAGGTGGGAGATGAGCTCAAGAGAATAGAAGGAAACGGTGGTGAAGGGAGAACCAAAGAGGTGAATGAGGATGAAAAAGATGCACCGGATTTTCTGATGCGGGTTCATCCTGTCCATGCCGATGAAATCATATAGTTTAAAAAGCGCTGTTATGAGATTTTCGTCACAAAAAGAGCATTGGGACAGAAGTTAGCCTTCCTATTTATCGGTGTATCACTCCGATGGTCAGATGCAGTTGTATACTCGTCAGTTTTTTTTAGCCAAACAGATACTTTAAAGCCATGTATATCGGTGTAGAATCCAGTGTTAAGACTGAAAATTTGTTTATAAGCTTGAAGTAGCATGTCCATCTCGATAGTAATGACATGGGCTTCTTTTACATAAATATCGCGTAGAAAGTTGTAAGGATGAGAAATAAATTTCCACGTAAATAAAATAAAATCAGAAAGTAACTATGAATAAATTAGTTAAATTAACAAACTATACATATACTATGATTAGGAGATGGTATAATATTTGCCCACAACCATAGGATTGATGGTTATGAAATTTAAATATATTTTTTGGTGAGCTTAGATCAAACGAACCTCATCCTAACTCATGTTTTCTTATATTGGTATAGATTTGCTTAGTCCGTTCAAGAAATTCTCTGGTTTGTGGTTGTTGAACTGTGCTTTTTCAACAGTTGCTTTTATAAACACTCTAGGAAAACCTTAGAAGATGCGATTTTCTTCTGTTAAACAAGCAGCGAAATTGGCAACCCGAGTTATCACAACCCGCTCAGGTCATTTTCGATTCAGTGATTCACACAATAACAAACAAAATATAGGCCTTCGTTCGCGGTCAATGAACTATGTCGTGACGAGCTATGTTTATGATATACGGAAATTTAGCCACATTTTAGGACAGTAAAACTGAGCAGCTTTCCAACCATCTAACGCCCTGCGCGTTTCTGGACATCCATTTTCGTGACTTGGGCAACCTTGAATGTTGTCTGTTGTCTACTCTGGCTTTCACCATACATTCTGATTCCTGGGCCAAAAAGTCCTAGAGGGCTGCTTTTCCGGAGGAAAATTTGAAGCCCTATGGTAAACTAGGCTGAGAGAGAGAGGGAGAAAGGAGGGAGGGGGGGAGAGGAGGAGAAGGAGAGGGAGAGGGAGAGAGATGGGGGTGGGGAGCGAGCTGACGCGGACGGTCTCTGCTAGAGAGAGGAGGTGATGTATCGATCGGTCCCACGGTTTAGGGCAAGGAGAGCCTGCGCGGGAGATGTAGGCCGATACCATGGCTGTTTGGCTGAGCACAACTGCCCCGCTGGGATTTGAAGAAGCCATCATCCTTCAGTTTCTCTGCAGGCATTCATGGCAGGTGATGTGCCCATCCTTCCGTTGACTCGTTACAGGTACGTGTATTTATGCCCCTACCACTCTTCACTAATTCTTTCCACTCCGGCAACACAACATCCATTAGCATGGTGCTCGGCTAGGTTCATGTACAATTCCTTCTTACACCAAACAATTACATTATCCTGATATCCTCTCAATCCGAAATTTTGTGCAGGTGATGTTCATACTGGTTGTGGTCAATTTATTTCGGCAGATCTTGGAGGTCAACTGATAATTTCCGATGGCCTCTGGACAGGTAATTACTTCAAGTGTACTGCCAGACCTTATCCTTCCTTGTTTTACCATTCATGTTTTTACGGTGCACAATTGCTTAGATTATATATTTTGTTGACCCCTGGATGGGAGATGAGTCTTTGTGCTTGTCATTATTTAGTATAATTTCCAGTTATAATGTAATTGTCTGTGCCTAGTATTGTCGAAGCAGATTTCTTGGACTTCTCATTAGAAGTACATAATTAGAATTGAAAGTCTTGGATTCAGTCATAGTCAAGTATGTTTGGTCAACTTGAATGATTCTTGGCATAAGCTATGCTTAGTACTGCTCAAGTGGGTGTTTACTGTTTCTTTATGTATTTAGTTTTATTTTACAGAATGGCCACATGAGATTCTCCCAGAAATCTATATTGTTGTGAATTGGTTATGTGGTATCTATATACACAAGTTGTGCATACAAGGTGTTGTTTTTGTACTACGAAGGAGAAAGTTGATCACCTATTTATTTTATGGCGGCAACCTAATATGGTGGTCAATTTTGAAATAAGAAACACTGCTTATTTTGAAAAGGAATCTTTTATCTTCCTAATCAGTTTTCGCGTTCCCTACTTTGCTACAGATTTGTTTTTGTTCCCAATTGCAGAATAGTGGAGAGGGAGCAGGCTTTGGAAGCTTGTGTATTTGTTGGGATTAAGGTTTTGATCATCCAAGAGGTTGAGAAGCTGCTACGTACGTGCTAATTAGCTTGTGTTGTGTGCTGATTAACCTGATGCCTTTCAGATTTTAAGCTTTTGCTGTGCCCCAAGCTTATCTTTGAGCTTTCTCCTTTTGCATGACTTTAGAATGTTGCTGGAGGCTACTCCTATTGATAAATTAATGGGAATACAGATTTATCTGACCTCCCAAAAATGTCCTGAAATTGTACCATGTTGTGTAACTTTAATTTTGGAGTGAATGATTGCTATATCGATACACATACATAATTTTTACTTATGACTTCCCTGTATACAAGTACAATTATGTAAACTGCTTCAGTATCCCCATAAATATTGTTATTTTCTGCCCATAATATTGTTTTCTCACCATTTTATTTTATTGATGGTATGATCCCTAGCATTTATATGGCGATCCACAATGAATTTTCTTAAGTTATATTCTAATATGTAATCTCAAGTTATTTTTTACTCCCTCCGTTCCAAAATCGAGTCATCTATTTTGGAAAGTTAGTACAAAGTCAAGTCATCTATTTTGGAACGGAGGGAGTATAACTGAGCTCGTTTAACTTTTTTTCTGATTTGATGTCTTCTCCTTGCTTTCTTCTCTCTTCATGATCGGGTCTATTTGGACAAAGCCTGCTCGCTGATGTAAGCAAAGAAGTCTATAAGAATGTAATTCATGTATATATTTGCACTAGTAACCTCTTGAACTATGGAATATAAGAATACATGTCTCACGAAATTTTGCAGAATAGTGATTTTTCACTGAGATGGTAAAACAGGTATGTTGTGACACCATGCACAACATACCAGTTTTACCATCTCACATGCAAAAAAAGCTCCTCCCCTCGAGCCGCTCCTGTGAGCGATTTCGGGGGCAAACCCTAGTGGCCCCGGCTCAACCCTCCCCTCCCGGCCTCCTTTCCCCGCCACAAGGCGCTGCCGGGCAAAGCCCGGCCGGCATACGTTGCGGCGGGGCGCTCTCCCCTCTCGGCACTTACGGTGCAGGACGTGGGTCGAACGGCGCGGGGGCGTCAGGCTGCTGTGTGGGGCTCGATGGCGTGGTGGTGGGTGTGCGGAGCGGCCGTTCCTCTGCCTGGCGACGGGTGGTGGCATTCCGGGGCTTCGTCGACGCGCGGTGGCGCGGGGGTCCCCACGGCCAGATCTGGCGCCGGCGGCCTGTCGGCTGGCCGGGGCTGCGGACAGCAAGGTCAACACGGGGAAAAGGGTTAGTTTTGGTTAATGTTTTGGAGGTGGTTTGTGTTTTGCTGGACTTCAAGAAAAGGGACAATTTTGTTAATTCTCATGGCCGCGGGCAGCTGAAGACGGTGGTTCTTCCGGGCTATCCGGCTTGTCGTCGACGGTGGACATGGTGGCAATCTTGGTGAGTGGAGTCGAGTGGTGGCGGTGGCCCCCCTGCTTCCTCGTGCATGTTCAGGCCGCAAGACGGCTGATGAACAGGACTGTTCCAAATTGACCATTGGGGAGCTCTGCTGCGGCCAACCGTGAACTTGCTCTGCTGTAATCTCTCTAGGACAGTAGAAGGCACACAGTTTGTTGATTGTGGCTGCCAAGACCCCCTTAATTAGTTATCCTTGGGTGACGTAAGTTTGAAGTTTTCTCTTTGGAGACTAAAAACTACTCCCTCCGTCCCATAATGTGTGTCAAAAAACGTCTTACATTATGGGACGGAGGGAGTAAGATTGAAGTTTGTTCAGCTCATTTATTTATGTTTACTTGCATCTGCCTGAATATTATTACAGCTTGTGTTTCAAGTTACGGCGCTAAACAGATAAAAGTGAGTGTTTGCCGTTAGTTACATGTGTCAAATTCAGCTAGGAACAATATTGCCAGTGGGACACAAATGCTGTTCTGCTTCTGCCTGTAATACTATATGCTGTAGCTCCCTGTAAATGTGATGTTTGCAGTTTGTTACACATGTCAAATTCAGTTCAGAACAACATTGCCAGTGGGATAAATGGGCCTTTGCAGTTAGTAGTTGCATACTTCAAATTCAGTTGAGAAACAATATTACCGGTGGTACACCAATGCTGTTCTGCTTCTGCCTGTTCAATACTATGCCCCCTATGATCTGTTCCAAATTCAGTTAAGAAACAATATTGTCGGTGGCACAAATGATGTTCTACTTCTGCATGTGTTTTTCAGTCAAGAAACAATATTGTCGGTGGTACACCAATGCTGTTCTACTTCTGCATGTATAGTTCTTCCTGTGTATACTATGCCCCATTTTTTTTTCCATTTTGCTCATATGTGAACTATTGAATCTGCAAAATCTGAGATGAAAGTCCTTCTGTATCGGCTGATTAATTCTTGTCTTGCTTGCACAGAGTCAATTGATGGAGCCATAGCCAGTCAGATGAACATCGTCGTCCTCACAACTCCGGGCGGTTGCTATTTTGGCAGCGTGGACTCCGTGCAGATGCGATCGTCTTGCCTGCAAGAGGAGAGGACATGTTTTCATCTACAGTGGACTCACAGCCCAGTGCGCGTATGGCTCATTACTATGTTGTTCTTCCTGTGTGTATGTAACATCGATCGTGTGGTTGGCTACTGGAATTCAATCAACAGCTGTGGTCAGCGTTAGCGAGATCAGGGTGCCAGCATGGCTACTTACAGTTTAAGAAGCTTTGTTCGCAATGACAGTGAGAGGTTTCCATTTTCTTCTTTTTGTTTCCCTGGCCGTTTCTACTTTTCTTGTGTTCTCCCCTCCTGCCAGCGTGACTCACGAAAATGAGACGAGGCTTGGTATTCGCTGGTTTACTGTCTGTTTGTAGTTTGGTTGTTGTTGTTCAGTTCAGTTTAAGAAGTTTTTGTCGCAACCACAGTGAGAGGAGTTTCTATTTTCTTTATTTTTATTTTTTTCGTGGCTGTTTCTGTTTTTCTTTTGGTAGTTTGGTTGTTGTAGTTCAGTTGTGGGGCAGCCAACAGGTTGTGCCGCAGCCAAACCCTGGCCTAGATGTTGCCCAGGATCATACATTCGGCTTGTTTGTTTAATCAATTTCAGAAATGGATTTGAGAGCGATGCTCTAAAAAAAGAAATGACAATTAGAGGGTTGTGACAGGGGTCGCTAGTGCCTGGTTAGCCGGCCTTATCTTTGTTTTGTAGTCCCTCTGTTCTTAAATATTCCCTCCGTCCATGAATAAGTGTATATCTAGCTTTTGTTCTAAGTCAGTTTTAAAACTTTGACCAACTTTATAAGAAAAAGTAGCAGCATTTATGGCACTAAATTAGTATCACTAGATCGTTTTGAAATGTAGTTTGATAATGTACCAATTTAATGTCATATATGCTATCCGTCCCATAATGTAGGATGTTTTAGTGTAGTGTCAAAAAACATCTTAGAGGGAGTACTACCTTTTTCTATAAATGTATCACTAGATTTGATCTCCATCCATCTTTCTCAGTTCCGCAGCACGGTTGAAAGGATGGAAGAGCAGAGGGAGCAGTGCATACTGGAAAGGAATTCTGGATTTTCCAATTTGGCGACTAGGGAACCCTTTTTAATATTATTATCTTTATATTTTGCTGAGGTGTACTTGTACTACTCCCGTGAACTCTGAAGCAAATCGCTGCCCTAAAAAAGTATAAAAGAAAAATAAACTTTGAAGCAAGCCACTTGTTACGACGGCGCTAAATGCAGTCGGGCGTCGATAAAGAAGCATTCTTTTTAACAGAGGCTCAACATCTAGCTTGTCAACAAAAGATACATCAAACAATTACTCTGGCAGCATATGATAGCGCTCAAGTGTCTACCTCCCGTGGTGACCCAAAGCTTGTCCTCATCCTTTATGAGTTTTATTTTGAGTGTAGAATAGTGGCATTGATTTCTTTCGAAAGACTCCAGCGTTCCTCCTGTTTCAGATGACCCATGAGACAAGCATGGTGAGGATTGATATGACATGGCCTTACGGTGAGCTGTGTTAGGCACCGATATGTTGGTCCACCACTTCTTGACAGAACACTCATTGCACATCGATCCATCGGCAAGGTCACTAAACCGACCACAACAGATGTATGAGTGGTGACGCCATGAGCTACAAGTCATGGTCACTAAACTGACGACTACGATATTGGGACTGTCGAGCGGAGTTTCGGCCGTCGGGCCGAGATGCTGGAACCGACAAGTCATGGTGATGGGACTAGCGGCGCCGGATGTTGCGACCAACGACATTTGGGCACCGCCAAAATTCCTAGAGCCGATATCGATGTGTGCTACAACCGTGGTCGGCGGTTGTTGCGACCGGCCACGGCACCATCCCGGTGGCAAAACAGATGACACCCTCATCGTATCGGCGATCATCTAGGGGTGCCGATGATGTTGGGCCCAGCCACATCGGATGCTATGACTACCAGGGCGGAGATGCTGTGGTGGGTTGCAATGGTGACGACCTCTCGCTTGATCGCTGGAAGCGGCGATGGCGGAGGTACGAGCGGGGCCTGAACAGCATCTCCGCCATGACCTCCTCCCCGTCGCTCCATCCCCCGCGCGTCCCCTACCGCCTTGGCCGCAGCCCATGCCTGCCGCTGCCGGCTCGCCGGGTGGCCGTCGCCGCCGCGGCGGCTATCGCCCTCGACCCGGTACGTACCTACCTACGCCACTAGCTGATTCTCATCTCAGGAGAAGCAAGATAACGAGTTGTGTGTGTCTGCGCGCTGAAAAGAGGGGGAACGGTTGTCGCACACCAGATGTTTGGTGTTATGTCTAGGCGGGGTTTGGCAGGAACCAAGCTTTGTATTTGCTCCAAGAGTAATCAATTGAGTCGAGATAGGCGTAGGTTTAGCAGAGCTTTTCAGTTTGGGAAGGTGAGGTGTGTCATGGCGTGCACTGCCGCTATTTGGCAACGAGAGAGAAAGATATCTGGATTAGTGACTGAGCTAAATGGTTATATATCTGCTGATATCTGGCTTTCTCTTGCTTTACATGTATAGGATGCCTGGTCTCTGCAATCTAGCTTCTACTCTTTAATACGTACTCCCTCCGTTCGGAATTACTTGTCGCAGAAATGGATGTATCTAGACGTATTTTAGTTCTAGACACATCCATTTCCGAGACAAGTAATTCCGAATGGAGGGAGTACTAGGGAGCTAATCTTGCTAACAGCGGTCGTGTATGGTTCCGAAATAAGCAGCCTGTTTAATACAGTAGCATAGTTTACAGTCGCGTTAAGGGTAAGCCAAGGTCAATGTTTTGCATAGAAGGTGTTTGATGTTATGCCAAGCTAGGATTTTAATCATACCATGTGAAACTGACGATCACTATGCGAACAGTTTCAGGAGATCAAAACCGAGCTGAATGACGCTTCGAAAACCGAGGTGTTCGCGTGCCCTGTTTGCTATGAGCCGCTGATAAGGAAAGGGCCGCCAGGCATGAACCTGTACGTCTAAAAGTCCACGAATTGTCTTCATCTCGCATGCATATCTGGTTGCTGAATTAGGATTTATGTTGTTTTGGCTTCTACGTGTGTCCCAGGCCAGCGATTTATAGGTCCGGATTCAAGTGTTCGAAGTGCAACAAGTCATTCACCAGCAAAGATGTCTTCTTGGATCTCACTGTCACCTCAGGAATGAAAGAATACAGTGAACTCAAGCCCGCTAGAACCGAACTGTTCAGGAGCCCGCTCGTCTCCTTTCTTTACGAGAGGGGGTGGCGTCAGAACTTCAATCGGAGTGGCTTCCCTGGCCGCGACGAAGAGGTACATTTCTAGGACGCCTCACTCTTCTATTGCATAGCCTTAAGTTGTTGCTGCTCACTAAGTTCTTACATACCTGGCCTGTAAATTCATACATCCGTCGCAGGTAAGATTTGGTGCTTCACGTTTTCGTGTTGCAACAAAAAAATGATCACCACTCTTTCATGTCTACGTAATATTCATGTTTTTATGCATATAATTCTGATGTACTGTTGGCTTTATCAGTTCCAAATGGCTCAAGACTATTTCCAATCAGTCGCTGGTGGTATACTCATTGATGTCAGCTGCGGCAGTGGCTTGTTTTCAAGGAAGTTTGCAAGCTCTGGGGCATACTCATCTGTGATTGCTTTGGACTTTTCTGAGAATATGCTCCGCCAATGCTATGACTACATCAAACAAGAAGAAACCCCTATGAACACGTGAGCTTTCCTTCGTGCTTATTTTGAGCGTTTCCTGTGAGGCTTGAAAATATGTCTTGCAACATCCAACTCCAACAAACCGTCAAGTAGACAACTTGGGCAATCACAAATTTTTGTGTGGAAACTAGTGCTTTATTTTAGTTTAATAACATAAAAGACTACGATCTACGTGTTCAGCACGTAATTGAACGATATGTGATAATCTGCTCCCTTACTTCAATCTGTTACTACCTCAGAATGTTCCTTTTGTTCTAAGTACAGTATAGCAATTACTTACTGTTTTCTTCTTTTGGTCCTGCAGGAACCTTGCACTTGTAAGGGCTGATATTTCGAGGCTCCCTTTTCCTTCAAGTTCAATTGATGCCATTCATGCTGGAGCCGCTATCCACTGTTGGCCATCCCCTTCAAATGCGGTATAGTCCCTGTCTTCTTTGCACTTTTTTGGTTCAATATTGTACTATTAAAACTGGTGTCTTCGGAATTACTATTTTATTCGCCAGAGTCCACTGAACAATTAGCCAATCCAGAAAGCTTAAACCACTTTGGGCATTACATGAGAAATAATGTTCTCTATTTCTGTTAATTATTGATTGCTGAATGCGTCTATAAACTCAACCACAACAGTTTAGTGCTTAGTTAGTTTGCTTTCAACAGCTTTGTGCAGGAACAGGGCATCTGACCTGTGTACCTATCTTTTTGTCATATGAACTTATTTATCACCATGATACTTCCCACTGCTGTTTGAAAACCAGATAGCTGAAATCAGCCGTGTGCTGAAGCCCGGTGGTGTATTTGTAGCGACAACTTTCTTATCCACCCCCACGAACAGCGGCCTGTTCTCTATCGATGCACTAAAGCCACTGAGACAGGTAAAAGAAGTCGTCAATCGTCTAGCGCTGAGTTAGACGATCTTTTCTGCGTGGCAGAGGTTACCTAGCCTGATGCACCTTCGCTGCTATGTGCTGCAGATTGTTGGGCCAGTGAACAGCAGCTACAACTTCTTCACCGAAGGAGAGCTGGAAGACCTGTGCAGATCCTGTGGCCTGGTCAACTACAGCAGCAAGGTGCAGAGGTCATTCATCATGTTCTCCGGGCAAAAGCCATAGCTGAGTACCATATCCAGACTTTCTCTGTATAGCCAGCCACAGTGTATATATAGCTGTGCTTTTCTTTTTACGGGTATATGTATAGCTGTTACGGTTAAATCAGGTGGTGAGAATGCAACTTTAACCGCATTAGGCAATTGAACCAAAATGCATGGTCTCTGACTCTGATGAACAATAGTAGCATTTCTTCAGGTTCAGGCATCGAGCAAAAGTTTTACATCTGAAAAAATCCAAAACTAACCATTGAAACCTCATGGGCTACCGAGTTAGGAGATTCATTTTCTTTATTACTTTTACTTTTTTTTTACTAAGTTATTCTAAAAGATAAGAGCTAACCGACCATCCTGATTGAATGTTTGAGTACTCGGGCACTATAAATAAACTTTAAGGTAACTGCTGAACTATAAACCTTTTATAGTATCCATTTCTAATTAAGCTCGGTAACGACCTGAATGCCTATTGAAATCTTCAAGGGTACAGACTGAATTCCTTTCTAGAGAAGATCAAGAGGGACGTATCCTGGCTCCAATTTTTACAGAATGGATGAAACTCAAGAGACTATCACTGCAAACAATCGGACCGGCTGAGCGAGTGACTGGATATCGTCATCAACCTGCTGGCTGGCCTCAAGGTACAAGCAGCCATTCCGGCACCTCACGATCGCTCAAGGCACTAGCAGAGTGGTGAAGAAACCTGCTGCTTTGTGGCAGCGACACCAAGCTTCTTCAGGTCGAGGCGTGTCACAGGTGCCCGGTTTGAGCTATCAACTACTCCCTCCGTCCGAGAAAACTTGTCCCAATCTTGTCACTCAAATGGATGTATCTAGCACTAACTTAGTGCTATACATTCATTTGAGGGACATGTTTTTTCGGACGGAGGGAGTACGTTATTCCACGAGCAGAGTGAGACTGCTTGAAGCAGTGTGTGTAAATGGTGCATATCCATTCTCCATTCATATCATAAAACCAAAAGCTTCCAGCAAAATGTGCCATGGTGTTAAATGAAAGGTCAAGCTAATTACATCACTATAGCAAAACCGGCACGCCAACAGGTCGGAGGAGCGAGCGCTATTCCCATTCACAGGGCAACTAGGCAGGAGATAGAAGCTGCTCCACCCAGATGGTTCAATCTACTCTCTACTCTCGACACACTTAATATGACAGCCTATGCTTCACAGTTCTGAAAAATAACAGAACTCTTGTTGCGGGGTCACTGCAACACCGAAAGTATTGTACGGTGTTTCGCGTAGCATTCACGAGTGCAACTTCATTTTCGAGGGTAATCAGCTGCTAGCCTCTTGATCTTTTCGATGCAATTCTTATCTAGACGAGGCGTGATCCTTCTT